CCCCATAGTTCTTCTTACAGGTGGTAATACCAGCAAGAAATAATGCCATCGGAACTATCTATTGAATGTCAACGCCAATGATTTTAAGGGAATTCCACATAATGGAGATGCCTCAATAAAAGGAATAGAGAAATAAAGTCAGATATGTCAGAATATGGATTATAAAAGCTGAAAGTCCACAGCACTTCTATGTCTATCACTGTCCATACAATGCATAGTATCTTTGTATGTATATCTGATGCATATTGTAAATGCATAAGAAGAGAGGGGTATCAAAGAATGAAAGGAATATCTTTGACCCTGCTCTTGTTCCCTGTAGGTTTATAGCATGCTAGGCTAGCTACAAAAGGTACTCTATCTTTCTCCTTTTGTTGTTCAGCTCGATAGAGTTGTTTAGAATCCTCACATGCATACACAAGTAACAGCTTTTGAGGTGAACCATCACCGCTTTATCTCAAGAATATCCCACAAATAGGTGCTAAAAAAGCATATAACTAACAACTTTTGAGGTGAAGCATCAGCCTTTCACCCCAAGAATTTCCTGAAAATAGGTGGGAAAAGATATAGAAAAAAGGCATGTTTTTTCGAAGCAGTAAAAAAGTAAATCGCTTGAGAATATGGAAGCATTTCCATGGTGCATAATTGCTCTATACATAACATAAATATGTTCTGCATGTGTGTGAAATTTTTTACTAATCGTATCAATAGAAAAACAACAATCACAGACAAGAAAAGGTAATCCAAGGAATTTTCCCCTATAGATCTCAAACAGACAATTTTCTCACGATGTGTTAAACAATATGTAAAGTGCAAATATTAACACTGTAAACATCTTGATTGCAAAAGGCAAGAACCTCACCTGCCCTTGGAACCTTCACAAAATATAAAGAAGGAACCATCCTTGCTAAGTGAAAGACCATTTGGAAATTGAAGGTTGTGGATAAGAACAGTGGTTTCTTTTGTCCTAGGATTGTATTTGAGAACCCTCCCACTATCTTCTGCTGAAAAAACCAGCTGCATAAAGTTCCTGGAAAAGAAAAGGTGGGAGTTGTAAAATTTTAACCAAATGAAGCACAAATTCTGCATTTAACCAAGATCAAAATATAATCATGGTATATGGGTGAAACAGACATGCTTTGGAGCCAGGGAAAGAGCAGGAGGATTGTCAGTGATGTGGAATAGCTGGGATCTACCTTTTCTGGTGGATATGCTGCTATGCGCTAACACAATCAGTGTCATGAAGATCATAGTGGTCTAATATTTTGAGTCGACATTTTCTAGAAAACTTTTAAGACTCAATTCATTCATGTAGACATGTAGAGAGGAGAGAAAAAAGTGGCTGGGACCACGGGTAATTGTCGGAAGTTTTAATTTGATTTGATTTATCTCGGCGTAAGACTGACAATGTAAAAAGTTAGTCAATTCTAGGAAGTATTTCACATATATTTTGTGTCCTTATCATGTTACAAGATCACCACTTTGAATGCTACGGCCTCAAAATTCAGTTTATAAAAGCACATCAGGATCGAAACGCATTCTAGTTAAGAAATCTTTAGCACTAAAAGAAAGGGCACATTCATAATATACCTTCGTTGGTACTTCGTGCTGCTATCTGTAAAATAAACATTCCCTTCATCATCAACATCCAAGTCATTTGTGAATCCTAGAGGCACTCCTTCAGCCTCAGTTGTCAAAGATTCTGCTAATCCACCTTCAGGGCCTACCTTCATTAACCCAAAATATGCATCTGCGATATATAAGTCACCTGTTCTTTTGTCAAACCGTAACCCCAAAGGCCTACCACAGATGTGCTCGTTCTTCAAATAGCTCATAGGAGATGGTTTTGGGTCACATAAGCCTGACCTGAAAATTCAGAAAACAGAATATGGACTTAAATCTACACTTAGGGGAAAAGCAGTCCAAAAAACACGTAAACTTGCTTATACATCGCAAATTCGCAATTATTAAAAATTCTAACAGTATGCAAGACAAGTTGAACTTCTAATTTATTTGGTATGATGATGACATGAGTTGAGCTTAAATGGAGAAGTGAAAGGTGTGTAATTGGAACTTCAGTCATAGGTTAGGTGGGTACTTATGCCTTTTTCCTATTCAAATAAAAAAATGAAACAATAGCTAATGCACAAGTAAACTAATTAAAAACCATTATGGCCTGGGTTATGTCTAAACACTAAATACCTGCCGCAAGCAGGAAGTTATCATCTTTAATCTTTTGCTCTTCCTTATTTGAAAAAAAAAAATCATCTGTAACTTTCCTAAAGGACTTAAAAATAAAGGAAAAATTATGTGACTTGTAGCTTTTCTTCCTAAATTTTTGAACATTGTATTTTACCAGAATCCGAAGACAATTCTTGAAATGTGCTTTAATCTTGTGCCATAGAGAACCCGGGGTTCAATAATCCTAACATAACCACTGACATCCTAGTCCACATTGAATGGTTTAAGACTATTAATTAGGTAGGAAATAGGTATGAACGTTAATCAGATAGTGCAATTTTCCAAGGTGATGCTGGAGTTCCCCGCTGGTCGGCAGATTTCAGTAATAGAGCCACATGTTTAGAGCTAACATAGTATTGTGGCCAAGGTTAGCATGTGAGTTCAATTGTTCTAGTAGCCAATATAATTCCGCTACCGCTTAGTTGACAAGACTTCTATTTCTTTTCTGTCATATCTTGTGATTTGTTCTATGCTAGAAATCAACCGAAAGAAGACAGTTTGCATGGTTATATCCAGATGGCTCAAAAGCACTGTTGAATCCAATTGAAAGTTTGCAATAACCATCAACAGGAAACGCTCTAGATTAATACAACTGATTCAAAACTTTTTCCTGTTGCTCTTTTTTTTTTCTAGACTATAGTTTGTCCTCCACTCCTCCCACCAAATGGCCTATCATTTTGAAGATATCAGATTCCTGAAACGTGGTTAAATCTCCCTCTGTCGCTCCAAGGACAAAGAAAGAAGGTTTCAACTTCATGTACTTCTATGAGAAACCATTTGGTTATTCCTAGTCAGTTATAGCTTGGTACTGAATGTTATCAATAAAAGTCCTTTTACCTATCCGAGAGAAAAGAAGGAGAAGAGAAACCATTATTGATGACTATATATTTCAACATCACCTCTCTCCAACCTTACGATTTCCCTCTGATACCATGCCAAATGCTTAACGAGATCTATTGACACTTAGATTTCCTTTACAGACACTAATATTTGAGATTCTTCCTTCGAAACCCACTGGGTGCAAACAATTTCTGAGGGCCATCGGATTGGGTAAAACCTGAATTAACCGTGGGGCACTTGCGGGAAACTCCTTGCCGAGGGCCTGTGCACCCCCGGGATTAGTCGGGGCTCTTAGAGACTCGGACACCCGGTGCAAATCAATAAAAAAAAAAAAAAAAAAAAAAAAAAAGGAACTAGGTCGTTCAGGAACTAGCAATCTAAGTCATCTTAGTTTACTAGTTTGGAAAAGGGTCAACCTCTTTGAGGTGAAAGAGTTGACTTTTTGATTGATTTCCTCTAACCCTCCGCAACGACGTTCAAGTTGTACAGATGAACTAACGCTGTGATAACCACCAACAATGTTTTCAAAATATTGGAACTATGGCAATGGGAATTTGGTGCAACTTTGGTCAGTCATTTATTAGAGAAGACAAGAATGGTTATAGGCTATCTTTAATTACATGAGATAGTGTGCATCGACAGAGAAGGAAAGTACACATTCTTTTATTTATTTGCTTCAGCTTTGGTAACCTTTAACAAGCAGTTGCATGATCAAGCTGTCCCCAGTAAAAGAACAAAACTAGCAGACTACATATATTACGTTTACCTCGTAAATGAATTTTCACACAACTGATCCCAAAAACAAGAAAAGTTGCAAATTAACAGATCATATTCTTTATCTTTCGTAGTTCTCTTTAATTTCTCATATCTCAAGGTCACCTCGGAGGTTGAAATTCTAAACAGAAAGCTACATGGCATGATAAAAACATAACTTCGAATTGGAAAGAACAAAACTGTAAACACACAACCAGAAGTTCTATGGTCACGCTGAAAATGTTTCTCTACAGTCTACAGACTGTGTAACTCAGCCTCTCAGCGACACACAAACATAATGAAACTCAATTCCATTTCCATCATCTCTCCTCTCGAACAAGAACTACGTAACTGCTGAAGTTAAGTGGATATGCACCTATAACTTTTCCCCTTGTATCAATTGCACAATCACAAGTTTTTCTTGGAAGGAATATGCAAATCAACCAACAGCTAATAATTATTTCGCTCTTAGCACAATCTTCAAAGCCAAACTACTGGACCAAACCAACAGAATTTAAGGTTTTGCGTCATAAAATTTGACTCGATGCAGCATATGACATTTGATAAAGAAATAGCAACTAGTATAATATTTGTATCAACTAGTCTACTGTCTGCTACTCACATATTCCACTTTTACATGGAACAATCAGTTTTGCCCCTTTTTGGCATCACTAAAGTTATCTTTTGAGATCATGATAAAAAGATTCTGTTTCCGCCACTTATCGTAATAATGAGAAGGCAACAGAGCCAAATACAAAAAAATAGGCATAATCACAAGAAACAAGAAATATAAGCCAAGATTCATACCATAATCCAAAAAAAAAAAAAACTCACCTATTAGCTGATGTATAAGCAAAATCATTCCATTTCTCACCATCCCAAAACACAACTCTCCCATCAGCTATCCCTGTATAAGGTCCTCTACCCTGAGGGTCAAAGGCAATACTTTCTGGCCCCTGAATTTGGTTCAAGAACTTGATTTCAGATTTCTGAAGCAAATTATGTGAGTCTTTTTCAACTGGGAATTGAGACCAAGCTGGCATCTCAACCTTAAAAGACTCAAAATCCGGAAACTCAGAAATTGCACTGTGCTTAAAAGGGTCTAATCCACAATACACTGCTAATGCAAGGAACACTCCACCAAATACTGCAGCTGGTCTCATTGCATACAAAAATGAACTTTCTTGATTATGGGTTTTGGGAAAAGGGAAAATCTTGAAATGGGGTTGAAAAATTGAAGCTTTAAAGTGTATCTATCTATATGAGGGTTGTTAAAGAACGTTTGCTATCTAACAATCTTACTATAAGGAAATTTAATTTTGTTTGGTTTGGGTTTTTAGTTGTGAGTAAGATGGTACTATTAGCTGAGCTAACTACCCACTCCTCAGCTGCCACTCGCCTAGAATTGAAAACGGAGGTACTTAAAAAAGACACATCTCCCAAACTTTGCATAATATAGATGGGGTGGGGGTGGGGTGGGGGTGGGGTGAGGGTGGGGTTGAGTGTTTTGAGCTAGTGGGGACCCTTCAACCCGTGACTGGGAATTTTGATGACACTTCCAAGATTTGCATGTCCAATAATTCTTTTTTTGTTTCTCACCCGTACTTGTGGTAAACAATAAATTGCGTCGAGAAAATAAAAACAAAACCGAAAAATATCGCAACAATCGTAGTATTTTATTTCGAATATTTTGAGTGTTACAATCTCTGTGAATACTCTGATTCTTCTTTTCAGTAGTAAATAAATTCAAGGGCCTTTGAGCTTGATCTTGAATCTAAATTTGTTTCCACGAACGATGATCTTGTTCTTGAGCTTGAGCTTGACTGCTTGAACTTGACCTTGATTCGTTCTTCGTTCTTGAGCTTGAACTTGATTTGTTCTTCGTTCTTGAGCTTGAACTTGATTGTTTGAAGCTTGAACCTTGAAACTTGTGGAGGAATTTGTAGTGTGATCCACGAGCTCTCCCTTGCTTTTCATTATAACTTCTGCTCCCTTTTTTGGGTTATGAAGACCCGTGGATGGGAAGAGTTATGATAAGAACAAACTCTTTCCGACCAATCAGATTGAAGAGTGACACGGCCGCATTTGATTGGCCAGCTGAACATGTCACTTGCACATGTGGCGCGGTTTCACTGGCCTTTTAGTGTGACTTGACATGCCTTGTCATTTTGACGCGTGGCATGATCCTATTGGCTTTTCCGTTTGACTTGTCGTGCCACGTCATTTGACATGTGGCACCAAAGCGGGCCTCTAGGAAGATGATATCTTGGGCCTAATGAAGTGGGCTCATCACTTGCAGTCCAATTCAATGAGCTAGCCCAATGCATTTGGGCCTATTTATTAAATCCATTCTTATTGGATTTGAATATAATCAATCATATTGGCCCATAATATTTATTTGGACCAAAATATATCTAATCGAGACTAAATCCAAATTTCTTATAGATTTAAGTTCAATAAAATTTAATTGCCTACAAATGCCCCCTACTTAAAGACTTGTCGAATATAGACTTGTTAAAGCTTAGAGACGAGGCTTGAAGTACTTGTGGGTCGGCAATCTTTACGTGAAGTGATCAGCTTGTTTGATTCTATTTCTTGCAAGAAATTACAAGTTCCATGCTATATGGTAATGTGCAACTCATCTATTTAGCCAAATGAGAACTTAATTAAAATTTACAGTCCCCTGACTGATTAAGTGATGCACCTGAACCAAAATAATTCCATGTATATATGCAACAATTCTTCATGAACATCTAAGCATATATCCATTTCGATAAAGTTCCAAGTGCCACCTAGCTAGGAATCTTCGTAGAGACCATTGTTTACTGCTTTTGGACTTTAATTTGGAGAGTTTGGCTTTCACTTGACTTCATATGCAATTATACTGTCTTATCTTTGGCGCATTACCAATCGCAACAGTAGCAGCAAACTACTACGCGGATATAAGTCCATTCCCCTTTTTTTTTGCTGCCACACTTTGCAAACAAATTGAATTCCAACAATTTAAAAATCAATTCCGTGAAACATAGCAATTCCACTTTGATTAGGCCGGTGCCAGAATCAATGTAGAACCCTGTTGGATGAGAGTATAACTCAATATAGGACTTCTAGCTTCACTTACGCCTATAAAAGGAGCTTGTGTGATTTATTTTGTATCAACCACAATTTGAGGTATACATGATGGTGGCAATCACTGTTCTGCACACTTTGCAACTATTACCGCAAATACAGACTAACAAGGATCCTTGTTTTCTTTCTCTTTGAGCACTTGATAAACACGTGATTTTTTTGTTTTTCAGAATCATTGAAGGATGCACCAGCACAGGAAGTCTCAAATCTGCAAACCTTGAGACTCAGAGATTGAGTTCGTGAATAAACTTGGCCACAAGTTGAAGTTTCGTGCATTAGCACCGATCATTATTTTGCATGTCGAACCAGAATAGTTAAGCTGCCTGCCCGATGCTCATGTATGCTGCATTGAGAAGCCATGCCATTGGATCAATACTGTTGATTTGAAGCTTTGTGTTGTTAGCACCAGTCCATGTAGAATCAAAAATCATCCTGGGCTCCATCATCTCCATTGTTTATTTGTAGGTTTTCGAGAGAGTGCAACTGGTCTTGATATCAGAAGCAAGTGATATCCGCATGAATGGCAAGGAACCAGTCGGCACGTCCTATTTGCACGATTTGAAGACTTTTGTTGTGTCAAGGGCTAGTTGGTATGTCCAGCTCCCTTGAAGAAGTACCTGAGGCATCTCCTCCTTGTAGCTTGACAAAGAAATACATGACGTGTCTCTTCCTTACCTCTTGGCGAGAAAGAGGGCTTGGGGCAACGTCCATTCTTATTTCCAACTCTGCGCACCTTTGCAAAAATATTTATTTTGCAATGTAGGGAAGATGGAATTGTCAGCCACATGATTATTGCAGAAACTAGACTTCGGCGACAGTTAACATATCCAAGTTTCAGCTTCAAATTCCTTCCGCATTGGTAAGGAGCAACTTAAGTTGCTATCTAAGCATGGCCTGTTTGTTTGCAGCTTCGTGCACTCTCGCCGAATAAGCCATAACTTGAGGTTGGAGCCTCTAAATCACAAATGGTTTGTGTTTCTGAAACTTAGACATCCAGAACTTCAACGTATTTAAATTTCGGGTCATAACTCCATGTCGATAGACCGGTACAATTTTTTTTTCAAAGTTGATCGAGACGTCTGACCAGGTAGCATTCCAATTTTGCATACTTTCACCGCAATCTTCATAACTTGAGCTAGGAGTTTCTAAATTTCGAGATTCTCAATTGTACAGAACCACAACTCAAAGATATTCAACATAATCAAAACTCAGAGCCAAATTCCTTCTGGTTTGGCCTGAACAAAAGTTCGAAGCTGAGGTACCAGCCTCGCGTTTTAGCCTTACTGCTTCGCGCGCTTGCGGGAAAAAATCCATATCTTGCTGTAGGAGCATCAAACGCGCAAGCCGCTTAATTCTCCTGAAACAAGACACAAAATTCTGCAACATATCCAAGAATCAGAGAAAAAATCCTTCCGTACCATCTCAGGTAATGTTTTGAATTTTCGTTTTAGATGCTGCCGCATTCAGCTTTTCAGATTGCGCTCGGCAAAAAAATCATATCCTGGCGTAGGAACATCGAAATCACGAGCCGTCTGTGGCGCTGAAAACTAGACTTCCAGATCTACGACATATACAAAAATAACAATCAGACTATCCCTATATCTCCCCAGATATTTCTTGAAGTCAGGCAACGTAATCTGTCACGCTAGCTCATCTTCAGTTTTATGTGTTTTCATGAGCTCCTTTTTTTTCTTCTTTTGCAGATTGTCAACGCGTAGAGAACCTTGAACCCTGTCAGCAAAGACGCACTTCAGTCATGATACGCAATACCCGTACCTTGAGATCATTGGCGGCAAGCAAAACTCGCATGCCAGTTCTTTCTTTGAAAGTTCATCCACTGGTGAGAGGTGCCTTCCTTTTACAGTTTGTGACCTCGGCGAGAGACTAGTTGGTATATCCACCTCTCTTGAAGAAGTAGGTGATTCATCTCCTTTTGCGGCTTGAGAAAGAAGTACATGCGCGTCTCCTTCTTGCGGCTTGGTGAGAAAGAGGCTTGGACCAACCGTATTCCATCCTTGCGGCGTTGGCGAGCACTACTAGAATTCCGGAAAAAAGCGACCAACGTTGATCGCTTATTGGCCAAAAAGCGACCAAAAAGCGACCAACCACGCCTGGTCGATATTAAGCTGGTCCCTTTACCTTAGGGACCAAGTTGGTCGCTAAATAGCAACCAACGTTGGTCTCCCAGGTAAAAGGACCAAATTTTCCGGGCAAAGCATATAGCGACCAACTTTGGTCGCTCAAATATTTTAATATTATATATTTGGCGACCAAAGTTGGTCTCCAGATGTAAATAACGTTTTATTTTTATTTATTTCTAATCATATTAAGCGACCAACTTTGGTCGCTATATTAATAAATGTTATAATTTTTTATTTAATGGGCGACCAATATTTGTCGCCGATGGCAAGAATTAATTTTTTTTAACTATAAGCGACCAACCTTGGTCGCAAAATTACCAGAAATTTTTTTTTTTTTAAGTGAATAGCGACCAACTGTACACCAAAGTTGGTCGCTTTTTTGGTATATTTTTGGCAGAAACTGCCTGTTTTGGCTGCTACACCACCTGCCAGCTTATACCAAATATCCTAAACAGGCATTTTATGCCAGCAACAACAACAACACTAAAACGCAACAAAATATAAAGATCAATAGAACTAAAACATTAAGCTAACAAAACTAAGTTAACGTTTATTACAAGCTCATTCGAAAACTAGTTCTATTGTCTAGTTCAAAGTATATAAAGTACTCAAGGAGTGTTCTTTTAGCATCCTCGTTCGAAAGTTGGATTGCCTCGGCCGACTCGTTAGGTGGCTGACTTCGTATGAATTCCCCCACATCAGCTCTGAAGCGAACCTATAAGAAAAATTATATTGAATTAATATTTTAAAATTTATATAAAAGTAAATCAAAATACTTAATGATAAGTAAAAAACTTACATGTATAGTCGAGGCTCGACCCTCGACCCACCTTTCTGAATCAGTCTCTTTCTTCTTCTTTACAATACGAGTTTCATTGAATAGCTCATTTTGCTTCATTGGCATCATAAAGCTGTCCGGTGGCTTTGGTGATTATCCTCATGGTACTATTACTCGGGATGAACTTGGATATAGAGAATAACTTGGATACAGTAGCTGACAGGATGTGTCTTTTGATCAATTGTTGTTCTCGTTAGCGACAATGATGTTGAGACTGCAATGACATGTGTTTCAACTAGAGATGGTATAGGCAGAAATTTTAACATTTCCTAAGTAGATAAAAGAAAGATTATAGAGGAATTCTCTACT